CCACAAGTTTCCCAGCTGCCTAAGGCCCAATGGCCGCCTTTTCCACCTCAGCTACTCAGCGTCAGCCACCGCAGCCACCGCCATCTTGTCCTCTCAGTCTCTTTAGTGTATTTAATAAAAATTCCATAATTTTCAAAAACATGTCTATGAGTGGCAAACTACTCTTTTTCTTTTTTTCTTTCTATAATCTTACTCTAAGAAGATTCTCTTTGAATATATTTAGTTCTTCTATTCTCATGTGGGAAAGGACTCTAAGAATCAAGCCTGTCATCAAAACTTTTTTCTGCCTAGGTTGTGACCAAAGACATGTTTGTCATGGAGATAGATGCCATCTGCTACTACCGAATGGAAAACGCCTCTCTTCTCCTAAGCAGTCTTGCTCATGTGTCCAAAGCTGTCCAATTCCTTGTGCAGACCACCATGAAGCGTCTCCTAGCACATCGATCACTCACTGAAATTCTTTTAGAGAGGAAGAGCATTGCAGAAGATGTAAAGGTAATTAGATAAATTTAATGGTGAATATGTCAAAATATCTCTTTTATTCATTTATTCGTTGGCCATTTGTTAAATTTTCCATGTGCCAGGCATTCACTGTTCAAGGTGCCATCCCTAGGGAACTTATAGCTAGTTAGGAGGTTACCAAATTGACCCTGAATCAATTTATAGTCACCAGTATGGTGCTGGTTAGTCAGTCGTTGCCATAGTTTTTGCTCTTAAGACTACCTTGGTGACTAAATTTATTGTGAGGTACTCACGTAGTACAAAGTGTTGGGAGTGGTTGTTGGCAGGAGTGGTAGGAGTGAACAGGAGGGGTTGGTGGTATGCAGAGATGATAAGGCATTGTTTCTGGGAGCTTACAGTCTAGCTGGGGAAATAAGCATTGTATATGCAAAGTTAAATAACAAGTTCAAATAAGACTTTAAGATAAAAAGAGGTAAGATGTCACAGACCCTTACATTATTAATTACCCAATCAATTGTTCAGATTTAATTGATCTGGAATTAAAGGACGGAGAAGAGAAAGAACTGCCTCACGAGCAGCCTGATCTAGCCCACAGGCAGCAAGCTCAGCAGTCTCATCTATGGACAGGGTAGGCATCTTTGATTCTTACAAGGATAAGTTGGCAAAAGGTATCAAGAAGAGAGGCGAGGGGCCGGCCCGGTGGCGCACTGCTACAGTGCACCGCTTGGGAGCGTGGCGGCGCTCCCNGATCACTCACTGAAATTCTTTTAGAGAGGAAGAGCATTGCAGAAGATGTAAAGGTAATTAGATAAATTTAATGGTGAATATGTCAAAATATCTCTTTTATTCATTTATTCGTTGGCCATTTGTTAAATTTTCCATGTGCCAGGCATTCACTGTTCAAGGTGCCATCCCTAGGGAACTTATAGCTAGTTAGGAGGTTACCAAATTGACCCTGAATCAATTTATAGTCACCAGTATGGTGCTGGTTAGTCAGTCGTTGCCATAGTTTTTGCTCTTAAGACTACCTTGGTGACTAAATTTATTGTGAGGTACTCACGTAGTACAAAGTGTTGGGAGTGGTTGTTGGCAGGAGTGGTAGGAGTGAACAGGAGGGGTTGGTGGTATGCAGAGATGATAAGGCATTGTTTCTGGGAGCTTACAGTCTAGCTGGGGAAATAAGCATTGTATATGCAAAGTTAAATAACAAGTTCAAATAAGACTTTAAGATAAAAAGAGGTAAGATGTCACAGACCCTTACATTATTAATTACCCAATCAATTGTTCAGATTTAATTGATCTGGAATTAAAGAAGGGAGAAGAGAAAGAACTGCCTCACGAGCAGCCTGATCTAGCCCACAGGCAGCAAGCTCAGCAGTCTCATCTATGGACAGGGTAGGCATCTTTGATTCTTACAAGGATAAGTTGGCAAAAGGTATCAAGAAGAGAGGCGAGGGGCCGGCCCGGTGGCGCACTGCTACAGTGCACCGCTTGGGAGCGTGGCGGCGCTCCCGCCGAGGGTTCGGATCCCACATACAGACCGGTTCCCGCTCACTGGCTGAGCGAGGTGCGGGCGCAGCACCGAGGGTTGCGATCCCGTTGCCGGTCCAGTCTGGTACGGGTGTGACACTGAGGGTTGTGATCCGTTGCCGGACACGAAAAAAGACAAAAAAGAAAAAAGAAAAAGAAGAGAGGCGAGAACAAAGCAGGGTTCCATATAGCTGGCCACTCAAGTGGTAACTGCCACCAGCTACAGAGTCTATCATTGAAGCCATGGGGGCACCCAGGTCTAGAACTGGGTTAGGAGGTTGTGAATCATGTCTAGCTGGAAGAAAGACTTCAAACAGAGGGACCCTACGAATCAAAGGCATTGATAAAGATTGTGATCATGGGATCTGAGCAGTCACTGAAAAAACAAAGTATCCAAATGTTTTTGACTTTTCTAACTTTTTACTGATAAAACTGGGACAAGCATCCTCATGGAAAAGAGGAGAAATCAGGAAATAAGAAAAGACGGAAAGAGCAAAAGTTAGAACAAGAGGGACACATGGGAGTTGTTGCTCTGGAATTTAAAAGCCACTCAAGTATGCTCCCCGACTGCCCCCTTTTGCCTCTCTTCCTAGTTCTTCCCTCTCCTCTAAAGGATAAAGGATATAGTCCAGACTCTTGATATGCAAGCTCACCCTCATAACACTGAATTATAATTTATTTATTTACACATTTATCTTCCCAGATCATGAACTCCATAATGGCAGGGGCCATGTTTTATTCATCTCTTTGGCTTGTCACACAGCAGATAATGTTTTTTGAATGAATGAGTAAATGACTCAAGTTGTAGCCTCACCTCTTGCCATCCTTTCCCCACTGAATCTTACTCCAAACTACTTAGCATTTGTCCAGCATTCAGCACTTTTATGCTTCCATGCTTCCTTTTGAGCAGTTTCCTCTCCATGGAATACTTCTCTTTTCTCCACAGGTAAAATCTTATTTGTTCTTTAAGATGCCATCTCCTCTGTGATGTCTTTATCAATATTCCTTACTCTCATCAACCCCCTCAAATTGGTCAGTCTTCTTGGGGTTCTCAATGCACTAAGCTTACTTTTTATCTAGCCAATAAGAAATCATCAGAAAACAAGTTTTAAAAAGGAAAGAGTATAGACCAATACAGTAAGCTCTATGCCTGGCCCCTCCTTTCCAGAGCCCATGGTTCATTTTCTTCCCCCTCCCATTTCCAACTTCAATCACGGAGGGTGGGAAGGACTGGGAAACAGAGGGAAACCGGCACTATCAGTGGCAAAAAAGAGAAAGCACCCTATAAATGAAAGCCACTTGGATGAGAGACTAGAGGTTCTGTATCTCTAACAAACACAAATTTAAAACAAATTTAATAAATAAACCATCTATATTCATTTCCTATTGCTTCTGTAACAAATTACTACAAACTTGGTGGCTTAAAACAACAAATATGTATTCTCTCACAGTTTTGAAGACCAGAGTCCAAAATCAGTTTCACTGGGCTAAAGTCAAGGTGTCAGCAGGGGTGATTCCGTTTGAAGGCTCTGAGGGGAGGAGAATCTGCTTCCTTTCCTTTTTCAGCATCTAGTGGCTCCCTGCATTCCTCAGCTTATGGCCCCTTCCTCCAGCTTCAAAGTGCATCCCTCCAATCTCTGCTTCCACCATTACATCACCTTCTCCTCTTCTGTAGTCACACCTCCCTCTGCCTCCCTCTTATAAGAACACTTATAATTACGTTTAGGGCCCACCTGAGTAATCCAGGATAATCTCCCCATCTCAAGATCCTTTAACTTCATCAATCTCGCAAAGTCCCTCTTGGGGTAACATTTACAGGTTCCAAAGATCAGGACATGTACATCTTTGAGGGCCATTATTCAGCCTACCACTACGTCTTCAGTTCCATAAATATTTATTGAGAGGCGCTGTGCAAAGTAACTATTTGCAAGGCACTGTGAAGTTAAGCAAAACAAAACAGGCAAGTAATGCCTTTTCAAAGGAAATGTTCTTTCTTTGTACAGAACAGTGGCATAGGTGTGCTCCACTCCCACCCGGAGGTTCTCACTGACATCTCAACTCTTCCCTCCACAGGTCGCCTTGGATTCAGTGACCTGTATTTGGGGAATCAAAGTGGAGAGAACAGAAATGTGGGTAGGAAATTATCTGGGAAAAACAATCTGATAAAGGGAAATATTTTGGTTTCATTTAAAAATTTTCATTTGAAAAGTATTTTCATTGAGAACTATAACTACATTAGCATAAATTTGGTAAAAAGAAAAAATTACCTAATATCTCATAGCCATGAAACAACCACTGTAACATTTGGGCAAGTTACTTTCACAGTTTTTTCTCTATGTGTTAAAAAATTTTTTTTAGATAAAATTCTCATAAAATTTACCATGTTAGGGCCGGCCCGGTGGCACACTGGATAGTGCGCCGCTTGGGAAGCACAGTGGCGCTCCCGCCCGAGGGTTCGGATCCCA